AGCGTCTAGAAGCCCCCCGAAACCCACGCGCCGCACCGCGCCTCGACTTCGTTCTCGCGTTAACTTCGCCCGCCTTAACGATTTAAACGAAACCGCACTCACGGGTGAAGGTCCCCCAGGTAGCCGCCACCTCCTTTCAGAAATATTTTGCTGTTCGAAAAAGAACAAGAATTTCTTAAAAATTCATTCGCCGTCAAGATTTATACTAGAGGGGATTCTCGACAGGAAGGAGATTGGAGGGAGAAGAGGGGAAGGGAGGCGAGAAGAAACGAGAGGGGATTCGACGGTATAAAACTGGCGGAGAAGAGGGGAGGGGATATGCCGCGTTAGTCGCTCTCTTTCTCTCTCTCCCTCTCTTTCTCTCTCATTCTCTTCCTCCCTCTCTTTTTAAACGTGCGTATACATATAGTAGTGCACACTAGCGCGACTGACTGTGTGCCTGAGAACCCGCCGTTGTACACTATAAGACTAGAAACTAGAGATTCCGGGAAAGAGCGAGAGAATTCAGGTATCCCGAGAAAGAAAGAGAGATCTTCCACGCTAAGAGAACGGGCGAATAGAGCAGAATAGAGCGACTTGGAGACTCGACCGGCGAACTGTCGCGCTCCGTTGATCGATACTTACTCAGTCTAACTGAGCTTGCTTGAACCGTCGTTGAACTGTCACGTTACCAATGCTTCAATGCCGACAGCCGAATTCCCGAGCTGCGCACTCTATCCGCAAAAAATGTCGCTAGAATTGAGCTAGCGTGTCGCGATGGGCCTCTAGCGCGCATCCGTCACCGCGCAGCGAAACTTGCGCCGATCTTTGGCCTATGATTGAACCCGCAATAATTTCCTTCTTTAAGACGGGCCACTTGCTGGACTTTTTCCGCCGACGGCGACGGCGGGCGACGACCGATCGTTGCCTACGAAAGCGACGAGATAATCGCGCCCAGTGAACTACCAATCTCCCGCCGCCACTGTCGTTTTACGCGCGAGACTCCCGGCGCGAGACCAGCGGAACTTTGTCGCGATTTCATGGAAGCCGCCTGAACGATATATTCATATGTATCGCGCATAATATCAAGTCTGTTCTCTTTGGGCCGGTTTCATCAATGCCGATCAAGCTTAATCGTGATTAATTGTCAATCGACCGTAATTGGTCGATTCTACTAAACAGTAAACGCGATTGGTCAGACAATGGCTGATTAAGCTAACCGGCGTTGGTGAAACTGATCTTTTCATACCCATTTTCACCAATATAATTTAATTTTAATCTCGATTCAACTTATTCTTCGTCTTTTTCTAATCTTTAGAACTAGAAAAAGACGAAGAATAATTTGAACCGAGATTAAAGTTAATTTACATTGGTGGAAACGAACATCAGTGACTTTGAATTTCTGAGCTCTGGGCTGGCTTGAAGCAACTTCAAGGGTTCGAAAAGACGCTAAATGCTATTTGCATTCATTCTGACCGGTATTCATAGTCGGTTCTTATATTCGAAACCTTAAATACAATTGCAGCCTTCCAGCAGAGGCACAAATCGACATAAGAGTCATTTCGTCTATTTCTTACTGATTATCGAACAAGGACTTATACCAATTTATGTCTCTTGCTGGAAAGCTCCCAATATTGAGATATAAGTTAATTATAAGCAGATATTCGTAGGCCGGTATTTATGAGGGAGCTCTAATATCTAACGATGCACGGGCATGTTAGAGCGCTAACATGCCCATATTCAGAACGCGTTTCTATCTCTAAATTCTATAGTATGCGTAACGTATATTATAGCATGTTAGCGCGTTCTGAACGGGCCAAAAGCACGTTTTATCGAGAAAAACGTGTTTAGAGTATTGATTTTCTAACTTTTATCATGATGAAAATGTGAGCCATCTCACATCGCATGATTCCCTAATTTTCATCATAGTGCAATTGCGAGCAATCTCAGAGTTCGTTCGGCAAGAAATTTCTTGTCTGAAATCTCTTGAGAGAAAGAGGAACTGCCGACTGAATTGAGTTTTAAGGTTAAATATATAATTTTGCATAGTCCAAAGACGAAAATAAAATCAAATGGCAATATACATGGTAGCAATTTTGTTACTGGATGAAAAGGATGAAGAGGCCTTTGAACCACATATGAGAAGGAAGATTACACGAGGAATGCTTAGAGATATTTATTTTCAACAGCATTGACTTTGTAAATAATGGCAGAAAATCGTTTAGGTCCAGTTCCATAACTCACGGTTTATTTTAACCACTTTTAATCGAAGTTCGATTTATTCGTCATCCGTTTTAGAATTAGATAAAAATTAGAAATAAATTGAACTTTATGATCGTGATCCGATTTATGCTGACAACGCTCATGAATATCGTTTGTCTTCATTTAATATTTAACAATAAAGATAAAATGATTTTTAAGCGTTGTGAGCGTGAATCGGATCGAGGACTATATTTCACTTCACATTTTCACGTTTTTTCCCACACCGGCAAATTAGTGATTTCGTATTTTCATTTCGTCATTACAGAATTATGTAGACAAACTCACGTGAGATGAAAGTGCGAAAAGTGAGCGAGTGATTTCACTCGAATTACAGAATCGACCCCCTGAATACGGAGCAAAGAGTGCGTTCCAATATACACTATCAGTACTGAAAACCTATAGCACATGTACAAGCCTGTTTTTTTTAAGTGGACTTCAGCTTATCTTTCTTCCTCTTCTTTCTTCCTGAAGAGAAAAAGAAGAAAGATGAACTGGTGTAAAAGTTCAGCCAAAAAAGAATAGGCCTATTCTGTCTTCGTCATTTATTAAATGTAAAACAAGGATAGAATGACACAATAACATTAATAGCGTCTTCCCGAACGTACCTATTATTGCTTCTTATATTTTATGATTGTTTTAAATATACGGTCTTAAGTCCAATTTCACAACTCATGTTTAACTCAATCGAGGAACTCATTCTTCATCTTTTTCTAATGCTAGAATTGGAAAGAGATGAGAAATAAGTTGAACCTCGGTTAAGCGTTCAATCTACCAAATATCAGTTACACCGGAATTATTGAATGTAATTATTATATACCGACTTCTAGCCATATTTTAATCTAAAAAATGATAACAATAGAATGACACAAACAGCACTAATAGTATCTTCTTAAGTTATTTTTTCTATCTCCACTGTTCCTTTTTTCCAATCGTCGTTTTAGGCGAGAGAATGCGCAATATTAAATCTATTCTTTTTCGAAGAATTCAGAACTAGCGCTTACTGAACCAACAGTAAGTTAGAATGAAACAAACTATACCTGTCTCACTTTAACTTATTGTACCAGTATACTTCAGTTCTCAGAATCTGGGGTGGAAAAAGAACAGGGCCCGTATTCAAAACGCATTTACAACGATCTTAGCGCGCTAACATGCTATAATTTACGTTACGCATACTATAGAATTTTAGAGATAAAAGCACGCTGCTGAATACAGGCCCAAATCTTTTACCCTCCTACAGAAGCAGTGGCGGATTTACACATTTTTGCATCCTTGGCGCCCCTTTAAAATATTTGGCGTCTCTTTCAAATGAATGAACAATAAAACTAAAGTTGATTATTGTGAAAAATATCACTTTTTCGCTAAAAGCGAAAGTGTCAAAATTTTATTTTTATGCTCCAAAGCATTACTTATTACAAAATCGCATTGATGAAAATGCATTACACTCTAAACAGAATAAATTATTATGATATTAAAATGATGTCAAAATACATTCAAATGATACATGATCATTAAAACTCATTTTTCAATTACTTTCGATTTCTTTTAATGTCATTTTAATGTCATCTTGACTTGTTCTATTTGGGATCTGCACAAATATAAAATTAATTTTAATCTCGATTCCTAGAAGGATGGCATCTAGGAGATAGTGCTTCTGTGCTTCTAGAAGTAGAGTGGATATGAAGGAAGTGACGCCAATGCATGTGCCTAATGCTGATTAGTTCTGTCATTAAGTGTCCTTACGGTTAATCAGAAAGAAGATAATGTTAAAGAAAGAAGAGATTAAGACGAGGAATTGCATCATAGATATAGGACATAAAATGGCGACTTCCGGCTAATTGGCGTTACTCTCTTTATACCCACTCTTATTTAGAAGGATGGCGCTTCTATAGGCTCGGACCTCACAGGCCTCTGTCTAAATTCACTACTGTGCGGGAGAGAAGATAAAAAAAAATGTATATATATGTATTTATTGTATATATAGATGTCGAAAGATAAAAAAACCCGAAAAGATAAATGTTAAATGTAACGATAACTACATAAAAGTTTAGAAAATATTTAAAGAATTCAGGAAGATCCATTTGTCTTATAAGACAAGAATCCCGAGAGAAATCTGCGAAATGTAGTATAATATAGATTTCTCCGTCCGGGCAGAAATTTCTATTGCACAACAAAAATTTTAGATCTTTTGTTACGAAAATTGATTTTGTTGCAAAGCACAAGACAAGGTTTTATAAAATAATTCATAATATATTAGGTGTTGGAATTAATTCGTAGCGTTTTTTAATGAAAGAATGTTATTTATTTCACATGAGCATTAAAAAATACATTAATGAAAGTACTTCCCATCACTTGTAAAACGCTACGAATTAATTCCAACACCTAATAATTAAAATATCTCATTTTTTCTAATTGACTGTTGAGAATTTTACATCCGTTTTATGTAACTGGACATGTTACATCTTCTATACTCGAAAATAAAATAGATGTATGATTAAGCTCGTATCGAACTACGTAATAAAGATGGAAGATTGCGAAATTAATTAGAAAATTCGAATTCAATTAGAAATTTAATTTTAATTGGTTTCGATTCTGATTAATTAAATTTTAATCTACAACTTGCAATCCTAAATCTCCTGCAGGTCATAGTCTGAAATCGTTATTTTGAAGATTAAAATTTTGTTGAAATTTGACCAACAGAATGTATAAAAAAGAAAATATTTCTTTACCCTAATAATTATAGTCAAATTCCATGCACGCTTAATAGATACACAGTAATCTGATACGAACTTGAATAGGCTGTAAAATTGGGAGAAAAAAGAAACGAATGACAAAAAGATAAAAATAAACCTTTTCTTATCTTGATCCAGTTTCTATTTATCTCTAATAGCATTTTATCGATCTGAGCAGATTTGCTAGCTTAGACTTGTGTTCGATTAATGATAATTAACGTTGCATCATGCTCTACTATTAAAGCCATTGTAACGTTATGTTAATTATAATATATTATAATTAACATAATATAATTAATTATATTATAATTAACCTTGGGCTGAAAACGCTATAAAATGTATTTTTCGCTAGATCTACAGTGTGGTTATGTTCAGCAGAGAAAGTTTTGCAATTATTGTAAGATTCTTTAATACGATTAGTTATATACATTTAAATCCAACAAGAAATTAAGAGCAAAAATCAATCATATTAAAGAATCTTATTACAGTTGCTTTTTTACATCAATTGTTAGAGGAAGAATGCGTTAGTTAAATTATTATGCATATTCGAATCTGATTGGTCAAGCACACCAGATAAATATACCAACAGCCACTATTGAGTAAGCTCGTTTTGTTCAGTTAAAATTTATAGTAATA